ACTCAATGGTTCTGCTCGCATTGCTGCCTGGCAGACCCTTATCCAGCGGGCCTTATGGCTCAAGGCCCTGCCCTCCATTCTTAAACACCTGCACAGAGAGATGCTGGAAGATCCCATCACCTCTGACGTTCTTTTTGGTCCCCATCTTAGGAGGGTCATCGAGAGGGCTCAGAAGACAGCTGAACTGTCAGCCAAGGTGCGAGACCTGGTCCACCCTCGGTAAGCCTCGCACTCTGGCCGTTCCTCCAGAGGATGGGACGAGCGGCACGGAAACTTCAGACGCCCAGCTGCACCGTCCGCCCCGCGGAGCTGGCCTCCCACTTCGGCTTCACCTCAGCGGGACCATAGAGTTGGCGGCCAACGGTTTCAAAAGAGCCAGCAGACACCGTCTTGGCAGTCACAGTCGCAGGAACCTCGCCGAAAGCAACCACGAAAATGACTCGTTGGGGGAATGTGTGTGCTTCTGACTGTAATAACTCTGTGAATGATTTTGGTTTTTAAATAAAACCCAAAAAATGTCACATTGAGAGCACAATCCTACAGTCCTCTGCAGAATCCTCTGCCAAATCCTCACACATGTTCCCCACACAAAGCACTGCGACACACCTGCATGTTCACGCAGTCAGTCATATTACACGGCCAGCTGTGCCGGTGCGCTCCAGTTGTGCACCGGCCCTAGCTTCCAGCCAGGTCCAACACATTCCGCTCCCCCCACAACGTTGGGTGCGACGGGATGTCATGGCGCTATCGCGACCACGCGCGGCGACACAGTGCGCGGCTCCATCCGCTGGCCCTCGTCCCCGTGCACGGGCCCGGCTCCCACTCATCCTTTAACTTTGGACTCCACGCTCCGCGGTGCGGATCAGCCTCTTCCAGCTGTTTCACACTCGCCCTTTCGAGCGCAGCCCTCCATGGCTCGCTCCCTGTTCTCTGGTGCGAGCGACGGCGGTAAGAGCGAACTCAGTCCTCAGACATCGTTCACGTGACCTCGAACACGTGTTCTGTCTGAACACGCGCAAGAATGAAGTCGCCTTTGTCTCATGAGCAAATGGATATCGGACACCATTCATTGCGGTCACACACTCCATTTTCAGTCCTCTCCTCCTCCCTTCAACAGGATCGTGGTGACGACGTTCATGTGACAGGAACAATCTCAGGCCCTGGAGCTGGAGCTATGGGAACTTCTGTCCAAGGACGCCATTTCCCAAGTCCCTCGCAGACAAGAGCCCTCAGGCTTCTACTCCCGCTACTTTGTAGTACTGAAGAAGTCGGGAGGAATGAGACCAATTCTCGACCTTTCCCTGTTGAACTGCTCCATAGCAGTGATGCATTTCCGCATGTTAACAATGGGGCAAGTTCTAGAATACGTATGCTCTGGGGACTGGTTCACGTCAGTAGACCTGAAAGACGCATACTTCCACATCCCAGTAATTCCCAAACACTGGAAGTTCCTGTGCTTTTCATTCAAGGGAGTTCAATACCAGTTCAATCGTCTCCCTTTCGGCTACTTGCTAGCCCCGCGCACCTTCTCCAAATGTCTGGAGACCGCTCTGCAGCCATTGCGCATGGTGGGAATGAGGGTTTTATGCGCCCGGTCCAAGGACGAGGCGTCAGAGCAAATCAGGAAGTTAATAGAGCATCTGTAAACCCAGGGGTTTTCCATAAACTGGGGAAAGAGCTCCATCCTTCCATCCCAGTCGATTGTGTTTCTCGGGGTGGAGCTGAACGCCTCCCTAATGAGAGCACGTTTGTCTCCGGTGAGAGCGGCAGATCTCACCATGGTGATCTCCCGCGTGCAACCCCACAAGATCGTGAGAGCCCTGTTAGTCCTGAAACTTCTGGGCATGATGGCTGCAGCCCACGCTGTGGTGCTGTTAGGTTTACTGCACACGAGGCGCCTGCAGCGCTGGTTCATCCGCCTTCGGGTACACCCGATACGTCAGAAGAGACGTATGTTGAGGGTTCCCCCTTCAGTGGGCGGGGACCTCGCTCACTAGGGGAATCCCTCTATCCTCTCACATTGGGTCCCCATCGGACGTCCTACGTCACACGTATCTATTTTTACCGATGCGTCACTATTGGGATGGGGGGCACATGCTTGTCCCATGCGGTGGCAGATCGCTGGACCTCCCACACGCACGAGCACATAAATGTGTTGGAGCTTATGACAGTGAGAAATGTGGTCAGACACTTCGCTGCCCTTCTCGAGGGCCGTCATGTCGAAGTTCACACAGACAACCAGGTGGCGGCAGCCTACATAAATCGCCAAGGGGGAGTTCGATCCCTCCCACTATTGCGCATAGCCACAGATTTACTGTGTTGGGCATGTGTCCACCTGCTGTCCATCAGAGCCACCTACATTCTGGGGGTCCTGAATGTGGCAGCAGACATCCTGTCGAGAGGGGGACCCCGCGACTCTGACTGGCGTCTGCATCCCGCACTGATATCACAGATCTGGATCAAGTTCGGGGAACCCTCTGTGGATCCGTTCGTGGCTCGCGAAAATGCTCAGTGTCGCCTGTGGTTTTCCCTGAGTCCCCGGGACCACCCCCTGCTCGAAGCGGGTGCCTTCTCACACCAGCCCTGGCCTCAGATGCTCCAGTATGCGTTTCCGCCAGTCCCACTGAATCCCCGTCTCCTGGACCGAGTTCGGTCGGAACAGCTCTCGGTAATTCTGGTAGCACCCAGACGCTTGTCCGCGTCATGGTTTCCAGACCTGCAAGCGCTAGTGTCCGGCTCCCCGTGGAGGGCGGACGCCCTTCTCCAGGCGGATGGGTTAATCAAACATTCTCCAGAAATAAGCCAATGGCTGTGGGTCTGGCCGCTGAGCGATCACGCTTAGAGGCTTCTGGATTGCCGCATGATGTGGTCGCTGCTAAATGGGCAGCTTTCCAAAAATGGTGCACAGAACGGAATGTTCAAGCGCTCTCCTGCCAGCTGGCGGATGTCCTATCGTTTCTGCAGATACTGATGGACAGGGGCCTCGCATTCAGCACTATTAAAACATATGCTGCAGCTATCTCATCCTGTCATCAGGGTTTTGGAGATAGATCTGTTTTCAATCATCCCCTCACAAAACGTTTTCTAAAGGGTGTCAGGAGGAACAGACCTGTGTCCCGCCCGCTTTTTCCCCAGTGGGACCTAACGGTGGTTCTGTGCAGCTTATCTGAAGCCCCATTTGAACCCTTGGACCAGGTCTCACTCAAGTTCCTATCACTCAAAACTGCCTTGCTGCTGGCGCTGGTACCAGTCAAGAGAGTGAGCGACCTAACCGCCCTCTCAGTGGCTCCCACATGCCTCCGGGAAGATGGCGGGTCTGCTGTTTTATGCCCCAACCCAGCCTTTGTGCCCAAAAACATTAATACTTCCTTCAAATCCAGGTCAATTTCATTGGCTGGACTTTTTCCTCCTCCCCATAATTCTGATGAGGAGGTGGCTTCCCACCTTCTCTGCCCGGTGTGTGCGCTCGCACGATATGTGTCACGCACTTCAGGGATTCGCCGTTCGCAAAGCCTGTTTGTGTACTACAGAGATTCTTCCCTTGAGCAAGCGCTGTCGTCCCAGCGTCTTTCACACTGGCTATGTGATGCCATTTCACTCGCTTACACATCATCAGGGCGGGATCCTCCTGAGACACTCAGGGCTCACTCAGCCAGAGGGATTTCCTCTTCTATGGTGCTCCACAGTGGTGTGTTGATGGAAGACATTTGTCAGGCTGCTTCATGGGCTTCACCCCGTTCCTTTACTCGTTATTATTTACGAGATGTGTCTTCAGGATCCATCACTCGTTCAGTGCTTGGACCTCAGCAGACTGAGTGAAAGCATTATGGCACCTCATCAGCCCTACTTGAATGAATTTCATCCTCTTGTGAATGATATTTTAGTGGGAACCCCACTCTTCACTCTGGCTGCCTCAGCCTTTTAAGCCCTGGGCTGAGGCTGAGTGACCCTCGCTAAAAGGAGACATGTTGGGTGTGTCCATTTGGTTGAGCTAACCAGTGTGGCGTAAACCCATCCAGCTGCGCATTATTCCAATAGCAGCTAGCTTAAGGACTAAGACTAGATGAAATAGAACGTTGGTTACGTATTGTTACCCCAGACTCTATGAGTCTAGTCACAGCCCTTAAGCCAATGGCCCCACTGGTTCTGTTAGGGTCAAGAGACATTGGAGGTGAACAGTGAAGTCGCTCCACTTATATACCCACAAGGGGTGCCCACCATTGGTTGGCGTACATTTAAGCTCTTCAAGATTGGCTGATGCTGAGATCATCCTTCCAATAGCAGCTAGCTTAAGGGCTGTGACTAGACTCATAGAATCAGGGGTTACAATACGTAACCAACAATCTTGTTTCCTATCTGCTCCTCCAGAGACAGCATGGACGTGAGGGTTACACAGGACAGGTTAGTGCAGTCACACAGCCGAGCAGGAGGGGGACAGGTGCTGTCCTGCCTTATATTGCAAGCTTTTGTGCTATGTGTGTTACAGCCAGCAATCCAAAGAGCAGCCCCCCATCCCCCACCCCCACCCCATCCACCCCCCCACCCTACCCCACTTCTGGGTCTTTTTTGTGAGTGGCCCTCGGACCATTATAACTGAGGAGCCCTGATCTACACCCTGCAGTGAGCATCATGCACACAGCATCCTATCAAAAGGTTGCTCAAAAGGTTAACCAAAAACAATGGCAGTTTATTTGTCTTTTTGGCCTCATATTTGCTATTATTAATTTACCAGCCACTTCATTTAAGATGAGCAAATAGTTGATACATGGCTTAAGACACATTTTTATGTGTTAGCTTTTATTTAGACAGGTTTGTCTCATATTTTTTATAGTATGGATGTATGTATGCATTTTGGGTATTCTTGATTTTATGTGTTTTGTTGTTTTTGTAATGTGTTTTTATCTGTTGTATTTGGGGCTGACTGATGTAAAGTGGAAAGTGATAAATAAATATACTTTGCCCTCAGCATCAACTTCACCTTGATTCTCTTGTGTCCAAAGTTCCAGCCAACATCTACATGGTCTCAGAGGATGTTATCGTGAATGAGGGCAGCAACGTGACACTCAGCTGTTTGGCGAGTGGCAGGCCAGATCCCATAATCACCTGGCGGCTGTTGAACCCCTCAGGTAGGAATCATGCAAACAGGGCTCATTATTTCTTGCAGTGTGGATGTCTGTGAGGTGGGGGGAGTGGGGATGTGGTGGCGGTGATGGGCCGGTGAAAACTCTGCTGGTGATAGATTCAGCCCCGGGGTGTAAACTGCGGGAAATGCAGCAGGAGTGGGAGGAACCACGGGAAAAAAAATCACTGCTAGCAGGGGGGTGGCCCAACACAGCCTCAGTGACAATAATGATAATGGCTGGGTTAGTTTGGGAGAAGAGGAACAGTATTCCAAGTGGATCAGGCATTTTGATGAGCCAGATGAATACTGTGGATATATGCCCGGTATATATATATATATATATATATATATATATATATATATATATATATATATATATATAACAATTTTAAACAAAATAAACCATAGAAGGGATGAGTGAAATGTGTTCATGACACTGAAGCACCTAAAACAGTGTTCTTGATTGATACCAATACCAATAAAGTAAGAAATATTATATATATATATATACATACATAGTTATATATGTCTACATAGGAATATGTATATATGTATCATAAACAATAACAGCACTAAAAAAAAAAGACCAAAACATAAAAAACAACAAAAATCTGCAAATCTGTGATGCAATCCAATATGGCTGCCACCTAATGACATCATAATATGCAAATTATGTGTGTGAATTTGTTCCTATCACAAAATTTGGCTCATACTGAAGATTTTTCTAATTCACAATAATCCTCTATCTCTAACCATATTTAAGCTACAAGCTCTTTAAATAGTGATTCGTATTTTACTGAAAAAGCTATGGCGCCTGAAGGGTTAAGCAGTACACATTTTTCAGGCTTTCAGGCATGTTTACTCAGCACCCACTTATCTCAAGAGGACCTGGCTGAAGCAAAATGGTGACTGGAGCTCAACCTCCATACCATTTCAGAAGTGATTGTTTGACCCCATGTGTCACGTGATGTAAAGTCATGTGCATGACCCTCTACCGAAAATTACGTCACCCCATCGGAAGTGAATGTTTGACCTCGGATGTCACGAAGACATTTTTTCACCATTCTTTATTAAAAGTTATGAAAATTTTTGAAAAACATTCTACTGTAGATATATTTCTACTAATGAAATTAGCTGCTTACAGAGACAGGAATTAGTCAGTTAATGGCTCAGTTTGGGTTGTGAATCTTGATTTGTGAATCAGTAAGTTCTTGAATATTGAACAATTTGTTCATGACTTGCACATCACTACTGCAGGCTCACAGAGGAGCAGAGCTAAGGGCTCATTGAGGAGTTGACCAATCACTTGTGGCTTAAACACAGAGAGAGAGAAAGGGAGAAAAAAAATACTCAGATGCGGCTCTGAGACAAAGCCAGCTCCAATCGGTCACATCACACATCACTAATCTGGATCCAGAGAATGTGTCTTCAGTGGTTCAATAACAGCAACTTTAAAATCCTGTGGTACAGGATTCTATTTACTAACGATGGGTTGATCATGTCCAAAATAAGGGCAGTAACCAAAGGAAATGCATCTTTATCCCTTCCACTTTCAGGCAATCCCGCCAGGATTGGGGGGTGGTTAAACAGGGTTTAAAGTTTATGCCTTGGCAGGGGTAAATTGATGCACCTCTTAAAAAAACATTAAAATAAAAATTAAAAAGTACACCAGAGGTCCATCTGACCCCATTAACAATGCAGGAAGGTTAAATCATTTGGTTGGGATTGGATATAAAATACAAGTTAAGGTTTAGATAAAGCAAATACTTTTGATAACTGAAAGGTCAACTGACACAGATGAGGTTCTACAGTTACCTCTGATGCTGCCTCACTTATTGAGTAAGAAGAAATTGCATTAGGGAGGATGCCGATGGTTTTGTTTTTAGTCAATTAGGATTTTTCTTATTCTCTTCAATTCTGTCAAACCTTATTTTTATAAAGCACAAGATTATTTTACTAATGAGACTAAGATAACAAGTTAAGAATCAAATTAAGCATACACACCTGATAAATAAAACACACTGATAAAAGATAACCGAGTAGAAACATACAATTAAATATATAAAAATATTGTACAACAGATTATTAATACTGGTTAAAACTAATAATTATTACAAGTTAAAATTAATATATAAGAAAATATGTGTCATTTAAGTAAAAGAGTAAGTTATAAAACATTGATAACATATATAAAACATGGTTAAACAGGCTAAAATACATCAAAAGCTATACTAAAAAGGTCAGTCAAATAAAAATTATGATAAAAAGGTCAGTCAACTAAACTAAAAAGTTTAATCTTGAGCCTGGCCTTAAGAACAAGAATGCTCTTGTAATAGATTAGAATTACATTTAATGAAGGACCATAAGACAATAAAGATTCATATCACGGACACTGGGTTATTTAAATCAGAAGATTGGATATAATTATTACAGGGACTTTAAATTAACACTTTGCATTAACTGTAAGACAAGAGAAGAGAGAGAGACTTTCAACGTTTAAGTAAATTTATTACTAAATGATTTTTAAACAATTTAACAAGACTATTGTCAGACTGGTTGGCTGGATTCGGGAGTTGAGCTTGTAGTGAGCGTGGTTTCACAGATGCAGAAGTGGGAGCGTCGGTGAAACGCCGGCTCACGATTTAATCTAGGAAACCTCCGAGCGTTCGAGCTGATAGAAGCCCGTGCTTTGATCCAGGCGTTCTTGCAGCATCTCAATAGTGATTGTGCGGCCGTTACAGCAACTTCGGGCTCCTGGTGGGCTTAGCCATAGCAGACCTCAAAAGGGGACATATGAGTGGTTGAAGAGGTGTGGAGATTGTGGGACAGCTCTGCCCAGAGGATGTACTTAGGCCATTGCGAGGGTTGGGCCGAGACGAAGCACCGGAGGTACCGACCCAGCTGTTGTTTAGCCCGCTCAGTCTGACCATTGGTCTGCGGGTGATAGCCTGAGGATAGGCTGACCGATGCTTCCATGAGGTGGCAAAAGGCTTTCCAGAAACGGGCCACAAACTGGGGACCCCGGTCGGAGACCACATTGACAGGGAAGCCGTGGAGGCGCACCACGTTCTCCAGAAATAGTTCCGCCATGCGTCGGGCTGAAGGGAGACCCGGGAGGGTGATGAAGTGGACAGCCTTTGAAAACCGGTCAGTGACTGTGAGGACTGTGTTGAGGTTGTTGACCGGGGGGGGAGTCGTGTGACGAAATCTAGGCCCACATAAGACCAAGGACGGCTGGGCACCGGAAGAGGTCTGAGGACACCAACAGGGGCCTGGCTGGGTGTCTTGGAGCGGGCACAGATGTATATTCCTTTACATCCCTCGCCATGCATGGCCACCAGAGCGCTCGTTGGAGGAACTTCAGGGTTCAAGAGAAACCCGCGTGGCCCGACAGGTGTGACGAGTGGGACCAGGAGAGCGCCTCGCTACAACAGGACCTAGGGACATAGAGACGACCCGCGGGGGTCTCTGGTGGTGCGGGGTCGTCCCGGAGGGCGTTCTGAATGGCCTCCTCCAACGGCCACTTCAGATGGGCCAGGAAACGGTGCTTTGGGAGAATCGGTGCCGGCACGGATGTTGGCGTGGAGTGGGTGAACTGGCGAGAGAGGGCATCAGCCTTCTGGTTCTTTGTTCCAGGGCGGTAGGCGAGATGGAACTCATAGGGCTCGAAGAAGAGGGCCCAGCGGGCCTGGCGAGGATTGAGCTGCTTGGTGGATCGAATGTGAGTCAGGTTCTGGTGGTCCGTCCAGATAGTGAAAGGCAGGGTGGTGCCTAGAAGCCACTGTCTCCATTCCTCCAGCGCCCATTTTATGGCCAGCAGTTCACGATCACCCACGCCATACTTCTGCTGGGTGGTGGAAAACTTCCTAGAGAAGTAGGCGCAGGGATGGAGCCTGTCATCGGGCCCGCCTTGGGACAGGATGGCACCGGCACCGACGTCCGAGGCATCAACCTCGACCACAAAAGGCTCCATAGGATCCGGATGGCGGAGGATAGGGGCCGACGTGAACCGGATGACCAGGTGGCGGAAGGCCCGAATGGCGTCTGGAGTGAGACGGAACGGTTGGCCGGATCGGCTTGGCCGGGTGAGGGAGGTGAGAGGTGCCACAATGGTGCTGAAGTTCTTAATGAAGCAGCGGTAAAAGTTGCAGAAGCCCAGAAAACTCTGCAGCTGTTTCAGGCTTGTAGGAAGAGGCCAGTCAGCGACCGCCTGGACCTTCTGAGGGTCCATGGTTATGCCCTGATCCAATATCATGAAACCCAAGAACGAGATGGTCCGCTGGTGGAATGAGCATTTCTCGGGTTTGCGGTATAGGTTATTGTCCAGGAGCCAGGTAAGAATGGCACGAACATGGTGGAGGTGTTCGGCCTCAGACTTGGAATAAATTAGGATATCATCCAAGTAGGCAAACACCCACCGGCCCAGCATATCATGGAGGACATCGTTTATGAGGCGCTGAAATACGGCAGGGCTATTGCACAACCCAAAGGGCATGACCAGGTACTCCCAATGGTCGGTGGGTGTGATGAAGGCGGTTTTCCACTCATCCCCAGCTTTGATGCGGACCATATTGTAGGCACTTCGGAGGTCCATTTTAGTGAAGATCCGCGCCTGGGAGATGGAGTCCAGAGCCGTAGTGAGGAGTGGCAGGGGGTGACGATCCCTGACTGTGATCTTGTTTAGACCCCAGTAGTCTATACAGGGACGGAGGTCACCTTCCTTCTTCTTCACGAAGAAGAAGCCTGCAGCACCTGGAGAAGAGGAGGGTCGAATGAAACCTTGTCGGTGGGCCTGGTTGATATAGTCCCCCATAGCTCTGGATTCGGAGGGAGAAAGAGAGAAAAGACGTCCATGGGGCGGGGACTGGTTCCTGGCTGCAGCTTGATCTCCATGTCATATGGGCGGTGAGGCGGCGGTCAGGCGGCAGTGTGGTGGCGCGTAGTGGCCAGGTCCCGATAGGGCAGTGGCACGTTGGACGGTAGAGATCCGGGACCACCAGCCAG